CCTTCATACTTGACTCTGGTGCTTCGCGCTCTTTCTTTAGAGACAGCACCACGCTCACGCCGCTCCGTCGGCCTGTTGCGGTCTCCCTTGCTGATCCCTCCGGGGGACCAGTCCTTGCACACTCCTCCACGGTTCTACCGTGTCCTGCGGCCCCGTCGGGCTTGCTGTCGGGACTCCACCTCCCCTCGTTCTCTACGAACTTGGTGAGTGGAGCTGACCTCCAGGACGCGTGGGCTGACCAGTTCACCCCTGGAGGTCAGCGTGTGACCCACTGCACTTGCTCTCGGACGGGCCGCCACCTGGCCACGTTCACCCGTCGGCCAGGGTCGAGTCTGTACACACTGACTACTGCGCCTCCTCCGGTCCCTGCGTCTGGTCAGGTAGCTGCGTCCAGTCAGGTGTTTGCTGCTGCGTCCAGGTCTAGTCCTACGTCTGCCCCCTGCTCGTGTCGTCCTCTGGCGCACGAGACTCTCCTCTGGCACCACCGCCTTGGTCACCCCTCCCTGCCTCGTCTTCGAGGTATGGCCTCCCGTGCTCTTGTCTCTGGACTCCCCAGGTCCCTCCCTCCCCTTCCTCCGGGGCCTGCCCCCACCTGTGTTCCTTGTGTCGAGGGCCGGCAGCGCGCCGCTCCTCACTCCTCCTCATTTCCTCCGACTGAGGCCCCTCTGCAGACTCTTCACATGGACGTGTGGGGCCCAGCCCGCGTTCGTGGACAGGGTCACGAGCGTTACTTCCTGCTGGTCGTTGACGACTACTCGCGTTACACCACAGTCTTCCCCTTGCGCAGCAAGGGTGAGGTCACTGAGGTGTTGATCGACTGGATCCGCGGTGCTTGTCGCCAGCTTAGTGAGAGTTTCGGCTCCGACCTTCCTGTTTTGCGTCTGCACTCAGACAGAGGCGGGGAGTTTTCCTCCGACCTTCTGAGAGCCTTCTGTCGTTTGGAGGGCATCCGCCAGACGTTCACGCTTCCGGCCTCCCCGCAGCAAAATGGGATTGCTGAGCGCCGCATTGGCATGGTCATGGATGTCGCTCGTACGTCCATGATCCATGCGGCTGCTCCCCACTTTCTGTGGCCGTTCGCGGTTCAGTACGCTGCGCATCAGATCAACCTTCAGCCTCGTGTCTCCTTGCCGGAGACCACACCTACTCTGCGGTGGACGGGGAAGGTTGGCGATGCGTCCGCGTTCCGTGTCTGGGGATCTCGAGCTTTTGTCCGCGATACTACAGCGGACAAGCTGTCCTCCCGTGCCGTTCCCTGTGTCTTCCTTGGCTTCCCTCCTAACGCACCCGGGTGGCAGTTCTACCACCCCAGCTCGCGTCGTGTTCTGTCCTCTCAGGACGTCACGTTTGACGAGTCGGTGTCGTACTACCGTCTCTTTCCCTACCGCACTGCCTCTCCCCCTCCCCCGCCGCTCTTCCTTGCCCCAGGTACTCCTCCGGTAGACCCCCTCCCCCCCCAGGGTCCTGCCCCCTCAGGTGTGTCCCAGGTAGACCCTGCCGAGCCGGTCGAGGTAGCTGTCGACTCAGGTGCTGCTAGGGGTGCTGACCCTGCGGGTGCGGGGACTGGGGGTGCTGAGACTGGGGGTGCTGAGTCTGGGGGTGCTGAGACTGGGCGTGCTGAGCCTGGGGGTGTGGCGCCTGAGGGTACTGTGTCTGGAGGTGCTGAGCCTGCGCGTGTTGAGTCTGGAGGTGCTCTGGGTGTCCCGTCGCGGCGGGAGCCCCTCTCTCCACAGCGGCTTCGTGAGTGGTACTCTCGGCGCTGTCGGGTTGCTGCTGGAGGTGCTGCTGGTGCGGGTGCTGCTGGAGGTGCTGGCGCTGCTGGAGGTGGTGCTGGTGCTGGAGCTGCTGGAGGTGCTGCTGGTGCTGGAGCTGCTGGAGGTGCTGCTGGTGCTGGAGGTGCTACTGGAGCTACTGGAGGTGCTGGCACTGCTGGAGGTGGTGCTGGTGCTGGAGCTGCTGGAGCTGCTGGAGGTGCTGGTGCTGCTGGAGGTGGTGCTGGTGCTGGAGCTACAGGAGGTGCTGCTGGTGCTGGAGCTGCTGGAGGTGCTGCTAGGACTGGAGACCCTGAGGCTGAGGGTACCGGTTCTGTCTCTGCTGTTTCTCGAGGCGCTGCGCGGCCGCGGCCGTACTACGTTCCGCTTCTTCAGCAGGTTCTTGGCTCCCCACCTTCTCCTGGTCCTCCTCCTCCTTCCCTGAGTCCACCGCCTGTCCCGTCTCAGTCGCAGTTACAGCCGGCCTCTCCGCTGCCTGGTCCTTCTCCTTACTCTGGTCCGACTAGAGGTCTTACGGAGCGTCGTGAGCCTGAGTCGCGTCCTGTGTCGCCTGCGTCTCGTTCTACGTCGCCTGTCCGTTCTGTTCGCGCTGGTCGCGTTTCGCGTCCGCGTCTTCCTCCTGTCCCTGGCACTCACTCTATGACTCTGCGTCCTTCCACTGCTCCACAGCGTGTCCCTCTGCCCTCTCCTCCTGCGTCCTCTCTTCCTGACGGTCCGGACCCGGAGTCTGACTCCCTTCGTGCTGCTAGTCCTACTGTCACGCGCTTTCTGGCCACTGCTGTCACTGACCCCCTGTTTGAGTTCTCTGCTGCGTCTGCTCTTGTTGCTGAGCTTGTTGACTTTGCTGCAGCCTGTCGCCTAGACTACGCCGCTAGTCTTGTTGCTGAGTCTGCGTCTGTGTCTGTCTGTCCTCCGTCCGTCGGGGGTGAGTGTGCTCTTGGCACGGACGTCCTTGAGGACAGGCAGGAGGACCTTGAGTGCTTTGCTGCTGCTTCACCTCATCTCGTGTCCATGCTGCTTGCCCCTGAGGGAGACCCGGATGCACTAGACATCCCGACCTCGCGCTCTTACGCAGAGGCGATAGAGGGTCCCTACTCCTCCCAGTGGCAGGCAGCCATGGACGCAGAGATGGCTTCCTGGAAGTCCACAGGCACCTACGTAGACGAGGTTCCCCCACCTGGGGCGAACATCGTCAGTGGCATGTGGATCTTCAGGGTGAAGCGGCCGCCGGGTTCTCCGCCTGCCTTCAAGGCGCGTTACGTTGCACGTGGCTTCAGTAAGCGACAGGGAGTTGACTTCTTTCAGACCTTCTCCCCTACCCCGAAGATGACCACTCTTCGGGTACTGCTGCACGTTGCTGCTCAGCGTGACTACGAGCTCCACTCGCTTGACTTCAGCACAGCCTTTCTACAGGGCAGCCTGCACGAGGAGATCTGGCTGCGCCGCCCACCTGGCTTCACTGGGTCGTTTCCTGCTGGTACCCAGTGGAGCCTCCGGCGGCCAGTCTACGGTCTCCGCCAGGCGCCCCGTGAGTGGCACGACACGCTCAGGACGACTCTTGCTGCTCTTGGTTTTGCTCCTTCTCTGTTTCTACGCACTGACGCTACTCTGCCGCCGTTCTACATTCTTGTGTATGTAGACGACCTTGTCTTTGCTACTGCTGACACGGAGGCACTCGCCCACATGAAGTCCGAGCTGCAGAAGAGACACACGTGCACAGACCTGGGTGAGCTCACAAGCTATCTTGGCTTGCGGATCACCCGGGACAGAGCACAGCGCACCATTACCTTGACTCAGTCACACATGGTGCAGCAGGTCCTTCAGCGCTTCGGCTTCACCTACTCCTCGCCACAGTCCACTCCTCTGCCTACCGGTCACTCGCTCTCAGCTCCACCTTCGGACGAGTCCGTAGAGCCGAGTGGCCCGTATCCAGAGCTTGTGGGCTGCCTCATGTACCTGATGACTTGCACACGACCTGACCTCGCATACCCTCTCAGCCTTCTGGCTCGCTATGTGGCTCCCGGCAGGCACCGAAAGGTGCACTGGGATGCTGCGAAGAGGGTGTTGCGATACTTGTGCAGTACATCGGGCATGAGGCTCGTGCTTGGAGGACGGGCTCGAGTTGTCCTCACTGGTCACGCTGACGCCTCCTGGGTTGACGACTTGGCTACGCAGCGGTCGTCACAGGGTTACACCTTCAGCCTTGGCTCCGATTCTGTCTCCTGGCGGTCTACCCGCTCTTCTTCTGTTCTCAGCTCCAGTTGTGAGGCTGAGATCTACGCTGGGGCCATGGCTGCACAGGAGCTTCGCTGGCTCACCTACCTCCTGACCGACTTGGGAGAGGCGCCTCGTTCTCCTCCAGTTCTGTACGTCGACAACAAGGCCATGCTGGCCTTGTGTCAGGAGCACAGAATGGAGCACAGAACGAAGCACATTGCTCTGCGCTACTTCCTTGCTCGAGAGTTGCAGCAGCGTGGCCAGCTTCGTCTTGCTTACGTGGCCTCTCAGGCCAACACTGCTGATGTCTTCACCAAGGCACTTCAGCCTTGTGATCATCAGCGTTTCTGTACTGTGTTAGGCCTTGTACCTACTGTGCCTCACTTGTTGACTTCTTGACTTTGCTTGTACTGTACTCTATATACTTATACCTGCATGCTTACACTTGCTAGGTTGTGTTCACTGTATTGTTTGCTTTCCTTTATATAACTCTGCATGTGAACTGGCCTTCTGGCCTTTTGCTTGTGCTCAGACTGTGTGGTGATTTTGTGATCCACCCTGAGCTTGCTTTGTCTTTCTTAACTGGTCTTGTGACCCCTTATTCTCCCCCACTTTGCCTATGGGGGTGTGTCAAACATATATTTACTATAGTCGGTCTAGGCTGTGGTGGGGTAGTCCTTAGAGGGTACAACACTTATGTGTTTCCTACTTGTACCCTTCTCATTTCCCAATTCAATCATTCTTTCGTCTATCATTCTCACAGCAACGACTGCAGGTTGTGGCGCATTCTCGCAGGAGCCGCGTGTTGTGTGATCCTGCACAACTTGTGTGAAGAGATGGCAGTCGTTAGGCGCAAGAACATGGCCTGGTTCAATCTGCCCCGCAACCGCGACTCTTGGTGGACACGGGGTGCCATTGCGACACACAAGTGGGAACCCTGTGTTCCCCCATCACAACAGGCTCTGAGAGAGAGGCGGAAAAGACTGGGTGAGGCCCTGCAGGACTCTTACGCTAATCGTCGGCGCCGCGCACCCATATCTCCACATCCTCAGCACCCGGAGTGACGGTGTTGACGTCGCCAACATCGTCGCCATGCTGTGCGGCTTCGGGAGGTGGTGCGGACTCCCCGCGTGGCGGAGGAGGGCTGAAATCCGGCGGCGCACGGTGCACGTCCGGGGGCGCCGATTCAGTCATGCGCTCGCGGGCAAGTCGCATGTCCTGCGCCATCCATTCACGGACGAGGCTCTCAATGCGCGTCATCGCGTCACCGTGACAATCCTTGATGGTCGCGGAGACCAGCTTGGCTGCTTGCATGGTAGCCGTCTCGTGCACCCGTGCGCGCCTAGGTGTTGCGGTGGTCGGCGGCGGCGGAGCTGTGATAGAGGAGTGGGGAAAATAGTAGTTTCGATTAGTCCGACTACCCTTGTTTGATGTAACCTGCATATTGGCGAATAAAATAAATGGATTCATCGTATTCAAACTACGATAAGTCAAGCGCATATCAAGCTAGAGGTTATAGAAGCACGACTCACCCGTAAAGGTTGGTGTTGACGTGCCTGGCTGAGACGAACTTGGAACCTCCATGCCGGCCGGCACGTTGACGTCCGTGGCGCCGCCGCCGTCCACCGCATGCGGTGCGGCTGCGGCGGTGTCCTGGTTGTGCAGCTCCAGGTACGGATACCACGGTGGTTTCTCAACCGATCCGTGGCCTGACCCCCGTCGCCACGCTTGTACTCCCGCCAGAGGAGCGTCAAGTTACGCCACTGCTTCTGCAACGCGTTGACACCCCTGCACCATCCAGGGTTCGACTCCTTGATGTGCGCGAGTAGTCGGACCCAGTATTGCGTCCCCTGCTTCCCCTTGAGAGGCTCGAGCTCCTCTTTCATGAACAACTTCGCCGCGGCGAATATGGTGCTCTCCTTGTCCGACCATAAGCCCCTCTCGACTGGTGCAGCCGACCGCTTCTTCCGTGGCTCCTGGCGTGGCGGTGGCGGCGCCGCCTTGCCTTTGCCTTTGTTCGTCCCAGATGCGCGTGCGGCGCTCCGTTTCGTAGTCACAGACACATGTTGCGCTTCCTCCTCCGCGTCGTCCTCGGCGTCCTCATCTTCGTCGTCGCCGTCGCTGGGCGACATCCCAGCGTCTTCCGGTTCCTCCTCGTCGTCGTCGGTGTCGAGGCCTTGTTCGGGGTCGTCATCATCGTCATCGTACGCATCTTGCTCCACGACAAGCCGGTGTGTTGCAGCCGTCCTTGCAGGCTGACGACACACACGTTACAGGGCCGCACTGGGCGACTGTGCACTGGATCCCTGACCGTCAAGCACGGGCGGCGCGGATAATCCCTTCGGATGGCGCCCGTTGGCGATCTGCTGGTTCATCCAGCGGATGTAAGGAATGTCGTCAAGATCCTTGGGGCAGTCGTTAAGGGCCTGCCCCTTACGCTTACGAGCCATGCTGGCAAATAGAGTGCTTCTAGATCTAGATCTTTAGGGAGCGGGAGCAGAGAGAAATGAACAGATTGGAACAGGAAGGATGGTGCACGAAGATGAACCGGTAAGGTGTTGGGAGGTGGAGGAGTTGTGGGGAAGGAGCATTGGAGCTGGGGGAAGGCGCGCTGGCGGGGACGTGCGCGTCCCTGTCAATAATCCTGGGTGTGTCGTCTGGACCAATCACTACGCAGTGTACGCGTTGATGGGGATAGTGGGTTTTGGGGATATGTCGTCTAGATACATGCTGCATGTGTTGACATTTGGCACCGCGTGCGACTGATGGACTGTGTTGCAATTAACTGGCGACTGCTCCGTGTTTCACGTCACCCAATGATAAATACATTTGGCGACAACCACGGGCGGGCGGCCCGGCATTCTGACACCTGGCAGCATATGCTGTACGTACGCGTCACAATCGATTGGGACACATCGATTGGGACAGTGTCCACAGCGGAATGTACCCTAAATAAATGATTTATTTTACTGTACCGAATAATATTAAAGAATTATGGGTGTGTAACTAGCTTGTATCTTAAATAAAATCTGCCTTATAAATACGCCTTTAGATACTACATGTTAAACAGTGTGATCCAAAAATGTTGAGACTAGTAATAGTTATATTATGTTTTCTAGTATGAAGTGTAGGTGTATCTAAACTAATTCACGTTGTGAGTGTTGAACCATTTGGTGCCCCAACCTGATTGCAGTGGTCCACCCAGACACCTGAAGGACAGGAGTTTGTACACGTACAGTGGGACTGTTTCGCCAACCAAGAAGTAATCGTGAAGATTGTCGGCTATGTTTGTGGAAGTACATAATATCCTTCTGGAATGGTCCTTCTGAACCAACGTTTTCAATGTTCCATGGCCCCTGGTGAAAATGTCAATGAATGTAAGGCAGTCCAATGCAGTGGGGAAATTGGGGAGTTTACCCCAGTCTGAGCAATAATTGTCGACTCTTGACAGATTGTCTGTGTGGCAGGAGGAATTAAAAAAAAAACGCGGAGTTACGCGTGAGTGAACGGTTGGTGACGGACAACCAACCCGAGCAGACAACAAGAGTTGACAATGACACCCATGCAGCTGGGCTGGTCGTGTCAGAAAAACTACGTGCGAGGGCAGCGCAAACGGGGAGATTGGATTGGAGCCAGTGAAAGAAAGGAGAACATGTGTGGGCAGTGGGAGTGGCCAATGGCCACTGGCGAAGCTCCTTGTTTTGGGCAGAACAGGTTACGTTACGGGCGACGGACAAACGAACCAATCCAATCGATGAACGACTTCCATGCGACGAGATTCCTGCCGCCAAAATTGTCCGTCGCAGATGGGTCTGTAAGTGGACGTGGACAAATACGAGGAGTCGGATCAGCTGGCTGCTGCAAAGATGATGCGATCAAGCGTAACGCCAGGCCCTCCCACTAGCCTTCCCACAGATATTCCCACTAGCCTTCCCCCACCAGCACTTAGGGCATGAAGACCTTCACACAACCGGATTCAACCGCGTTTTAACCATCTGGTTCTCTGAAAAGCAGACTGTTTCTTCCTGTGAAGTTCAGCGTGAACTCGCCACACCCCAACCAGCAGGACAAGAAGACAAGGAGAGCAACAACACAAGACACGAAGAAGGCAGACACCCTGAGAAAACAGCATCAGAACAACTTGGGAGGAGCTAGGGTTTCATTTCCTTCTCCGCAAATCAGCTTCCATCAGAAGTCAAGAGCCTGGACCACACTTGACATTTTCCCACCAACCATCCACAACAGAAACAGCAGCTGAACAAGACGCGTTGGGTTGGGTTAGATTGGGACTATCTACGAGCTCTGCAGCCATGACTTCGGTTACGGGACTAAGATGCAGATTGCTAGAGCAGATAAGACGTGGGATAACCTAGTCCCGTTCTGGCCGTCGAGCACAACCGTAGTTTCATACTTCAGCCGCTCAGGTTTCTTGAGAGGCTGCTGCGACGTTCTTGCGTAAAAGTAATATAACGACTGGAAGGCCAAGTTCAGGGTTGGTTCGTGAAAATTTCAAGGTTCAACCTAAGCTCTGATTCGTAGTTACTACAGTACTGGTGGCTTAAGTTTCCTCGCGTAGTTTAGTAGACGATATGGGGTGTCTTCCGGCAAACCGGCAAGTTCGGATAGGTGGTAGATTGCTTCGCACGGTCTCGCTTCGGTTACTCCTCCTAGCGACAATCTCCATTTCCATTCCCTTATCTCTTTCACGAGCGCAACTCGAGGGCTCTGCATCTGCTGTTTCCGGTTCAATAACTTATCAACCATCGGCATTCGAGTCGTACATGCAAGAAAGATGGAGGAAAGAGGAGCTTCTTAAGAAGGACAACCCGGAAGAGTTCACCGCTTATAATGCTCGCGAGCTCTCGACTCACATTCTCCGACGAAGCCTTGCCAGCGGTCCGATCAGGAAGTCTGTTTTTTACAAGTATTCTGCTTCTCCCGAGGAACTCGAAGAAACTCGTATGATTGGGAGGTTGTTAAGAGAAAAATTACTTGGCGAGAAAGAAGCGGAAGGTTCCAACTGGGGTCGGAAACTGCAAGAACTTCTGAAGCCAAGTTCGTCGAAGCGAAGGATTCTCGCGCAGCCGGCTTACATGGAACTTTACGAAATGACGGATCTTCCTCAACGAAGAAAGTTACAGGGTAACTCGGGGAAGGTCCAGGCGCTTCAAGCGCCTGACTTGGGAGCAGCTCCTGCTCGCGGCGACATGAATATCACCTGGTTTCGATGGCAGAGCGTGTCGACGCCGACGCTCGTTGACTGGAGCATCACTCCGTACATCACGCCAATGTTGAACCAGCAGTTTGTACGTCCCTCTCTGTCTCTCTGTCTGCTTCTCGTAGTGTTCTTACCGTCAGCCTGAACCGCTTACTCTTGCTCTACAGGCCAATGTTTGCTGTCTAGCAAGAACCGCATCTGCGTTCTTACGTCGCTGGAATGTCTCTCCGTGCATGCTCGCTCGCACCTTCCGTGTTCATCCCCCCTCCATAATCCCCATCCCTTCCGTTCATCTCTCCTCTCACGGTCTGCTCCTATTGACTCGCCAAAGAAGATTTGTTTCTCCCTTCCCTTCCCTTCCCTTCCGTTCCCTTCCCTTCCCTTCCGTTCCCTTCCCTTCTGTTCCGTTCCCGTTCCCCCCTTCCCTTCCCTTCCCTCCCCTTCCCTCCCTTGCCTTTCAGTGCGAGAGCTGTTGGGCGATGACGGCGACGGACCTCGTGAGCATCGTGTGGGCTCAGATCAACAATCAGACGGCTGAGCTGCTCTCCACGCAGCACGCATGCGACTGCTCGTCGTCCGCTTGCTGCCGCGGCGGCTGGCCCGAGTGGGTCTTCCAGTTCATTATGGCGAACGGCGGGGTGGCTTCTAACGCGGATTATCCGTACGCGGGCGCGATGAACTCCACCTGTGGAAGCGTCTCGAAGTCGAAGCTCAAGGCGAAGGTGTGGGTTGCGTTGAGAGGGGGAGCGGGTGCAGACTGCGGTTATCGGATCATGCAGCCAAGGGGTCAAAGTTGCTGCGGTTGGAGGGTGGAGGGAGGGGGGGTCAGAAATGGCTACACTCGAATGCGAGCTACATCTGCTTCTGCTTTACTTCGATGCTCATCCTGTTGCTCGCTGTTCATCCTTCTGTTGTACTCCGCGTCTCCTCATCGCCTTTCCCCTCTGTCCTCTTTACCTCGCGCTCTTCCCCTCCCCTCTCCCCTTCCCCCCCTTCTCTCTCTCTCTCTCTCTCTCTCCTCTCTCTCTCTCTCTCTCTCTCTCTCTCTCTCTCTCTCTCCCTCCCTCCCTCCCTCCCTCCCTCCCTCCCTCCCTCCCTCCCTCCCTCCCTCCCTCCCTCCCTCGCTCGCTCCCTCGCTCCCTCGCTCCCTCGCTCCCTCGCTCCCTCGCTCCCTCGCTCCCTCGCTCCCTCGCTCCCTCGCTCCCTCGCTCCCTCGCTCCCTCGCTCCCTCGCTCCCTCGCTCTCGCTCTCGCTCTCGCTCTCTCTCTCCCTCGCTCCCTCTCTCCCTCTCTCCCTCTCCCTCTCTCCCTCTCTCTCCCTCTCTCTCCCTCTCTCTCCCTCTCTCTCCCTCTCTCTCCCTCTCTCTCCCTCTCTCTCCCTCTCTCTCCCTCTCTCTCCCTCTCTCTCCCTCTCTCTCCCTCTCTCTCCCTCTCTCTCCCTCTCTCTCCCTCTCTCTCCCTCTCTCTCCCTCTCTCCCTCTCTCTCCTCTCTCTCCCTCTCTCCCTCTCTCTCCCTCTCTCTCCCTCTCTCTCCCTCTCTCTCCCTCTCTCTCCCTCTCCCCCGCGTTATTCGATGCGCGCAGATCAACGGGTGGGAGAAGGTGCCGGCGAGGAGCAACACGGCGCTGATGAAGGCCGTGGCGCAGCACCCCGTGCTCGTGTACATCGCCGGCAGCAGCAACGATTTCATCGTACGCCGCCCGTCTCTCTTTCTCTCTCTCTCTCTCTCTCTCTCTCTCTCTCTCTCTCTCCCTCTCTCTCTCTCTCACTCACTCACACGCGCTTGTCCCGTCCCTCAAAACCCCACCCACCCCCCCCCCCCTCTCTCTCCCCCTCTTCCCAACCTTCCCCACCCCGTTTTCAGCTGTACGCTCCCGTTTCGACTTCCAAGAATTAAATCTCCCTTTGTTTCGTCTCCTGCCACCGTCAGCCATTCCTCCTTCCACACTTCGTTCTTCCTCCTCGCGTCCCGCTCCTTCAGATTCCCCCCTCTTTCCTGCTTCCACCCGCTGACCCCCACTCGTGTCAGAATTATTCGGGAGGAATTTTCTTCGGGCAGTGCAGCGGCGAAATCGACCACGCCGTGCTGGTCGTGGGCTATAGTCTCGTCGACCCGAGCTCGCCAGTCTGGATTGTTAAAAACACATGGGGACCCTCCTGGGGCGAGGGTGGTTACATGCGGCTACCGATGCTGGCGGACGGGCCTGGCAAGTGTAATATGTTAAGCGAACGGGGGCTTTACCCTACGTTTTACGATAAGAACAAGGGGGCGGCTCTCTGCAAGCTGCCGATAAATCCTTGCGGAGGCGGGACGTGTGTGGTGACGAACGGTGGTGCGCGGTGCAGTTGCCCGCCTGGATTTGTGGAGAGACTGGAGAACGACGCGCCTAAGTGCACGCTGGCTACACCTTGTGATGCGAATCCGAGTCCGTGCGGTATCGGGACATGCTACAACGAGTTCGATGGCAGCTACACTTGCGCATGCCCTGCTGTAAGTTGTTCGCGCATCACTTTTCCCTCTTTTCCCCACCCTGCTCCAACTTACTTCATTTTTTTTTTTTTCCGATGTACTTTCTACCGTCGCAAAATTTAGTTATTCAGCCGAACTTTTCTGTCTGTGTGTCTCCAGGGCTCGGTGATTGGTTCGCGTGTTGAGGGCAGCATGACTTGCGTCCTCGGCACGTTCCAATCAGGTCTCCAAACCTACACGATTCTGCTAGGCGACACCTGCCAAACCGTCGCCAGCACGTTCGGATTCACCATAGACTTTCTCCAAACCAAGAATCCGTTCCTCGACTGCTCCCAACCACTCACCCCGGGCTACGTCATCCTAGTCGGTTCGACAAACACTACTCTAGGCTGCTCCTCGATGGATATAGTTAGTCCTGGCGACACATGTAGCACACTCGCTACACGCAACAACATCACTGTACGCCAGTTGTTAGGGATCAACCCAACCCTCAACTGCAACGTGTCGCTGCAGCGGTCGCAGATGCTGTGCGTCGCGCCGGGCGCTCTCTCGGCCACGTCGCCCTTGATCCGTTCGTGCGGGCGAGTGTACAACGTGGGTCCCCAGGACCGGTGCACAGACATCGCCCGCGGATTCAACATCTCGCTCATCGATTTCGTCTGGTGCGTGCCTTGCCATCTGTACCCTGGAACCGTCGGATTTCTAGACGCTGTGTCTTGTCGCTTGTCGCCTCGCCTACTTTCTGTTCTTCTGTCATTTCAGGCTGAATCCATTCGTCTCTCCTGCTTCCTGTTTTGCCAATCATGTCCAGGCTGAATCCGGGGCTCCGGTGTGACGACAACCCCATCAACAATGCCATTGCAGTCTGCGTGGCTCCTCTCACCACTGAGGTAACCTCCCCCCTCTCGTCCCCCTCACTTTCTCCCTCCCCCCCTCTCCCAAACACCAGCATCACCGTCTTTCTCTCCCATTCCTCCCTCTCCCCCACTCCCCAGTTTCCACCCCGTCCCCCTCTTCCTCTCCTCTTCCTTCATTCCGCGATTCTCCTTTAAATTGTACCCACTTCTCTCCAAGCGAGTGTTCAGTCCGTCGCCAATGCGCTCACAATCTGCTGCTGCCCCATACCCCCCCACAACCCCCATGCTCCCTTTCCCCTCCCCCCCCCCCCCCCCCCAACCCTGTTACATTCTCTGCAGTTCGTCACAGTGGATTGCTCCTCATGGTACACAGTCACACAGGCGGACACGTGCTCTCTCATGGCCAACTCAGTGGGTCTCACAGTCAACCAGTTCCTTCGCCTCAACCCGGGCCTCAGGGTATGTCTTCCTTCTCTCTTCTCTCGTCCTTCTCCTCTCTCCCTCTCTCCTTGCCGTGACCCTGTCGCCATTTTTAGTCTCCGTTCGCAGCAAGGCCTTCGTGTTATCCTCACCCTTCCTAGTTCTCCTCTCTTGTGTCGCCGCACACCCTCCTGCAGTGCCACCGGCCGTACCTCCGTTTTCATCAGGACTTGCTTGTAATCCTCACCACCTTCGTCTTTCCCTCCGTTTCTCCATTCTTCTGTCACCCGGTTCCCTCCTGCAGTGCTACCCGCCGTACCTCCAAATCGGGCAGAAAGTCTGTGTGAACGGCACGACACAGTCCATGACTAAGTATCCGCTCTCCCCGAACGTGATCCCGTACTCTGTGGGGGTCAACGACACGCTCGCGACAATCTCACAGCAATACGCCTCCATGTGTCCCAACAACACCTTCCCCGCGGATATCTGCTCCTCAAACTCCTTCCCGGACTGCACAGACCAGTCCATCACGCCCAACCAAATGATCCTCATCCCATGCACGAGAAAGATCGCAGGAGACATCTGTGGGGATTCGCTCCCTGTCTGCGGGTCAGATTATGTGACTTACAAGTCGGCGTGTCATGCAGTGCTCAGCTTTGCCCTGCCGCTGATAAGATCTGGGCCGTGCAACCTGTGCAACGAGGGGATCTGCCAGAACCGGACGGCGATAGATCCGATTCCAAACACGTGCCCCGCGCCGCCCGGCATGTGCCCGTTCCCAACGTGGCCTCTTACTCCGGATTATTTCTACTACTGCCCATGGATGTTCAAATCCCAGTGTGAATGTCTGTTGGTGAGTTCAATTCCTGTTGCCCGTTCCTCCCTTCCACTTTCTTTCCAATGTCTCTGCATGCTCTTTATCAATCTCCCCCCCACGCTGGCCCCCTCCCCTCCCCGTGTCCCTTCGTTTTACAGTGCTCGATTTACCATGATCAATCAGTCAGCTCTGATTTTCTTGTTTTTGTTTTTTTTTTGTGCCGCTGTTCTTGCAGTACACCTGTGATTATCTCTGTAACAGAACGGCAGCATACTACAAGTACACCCTGGGCAGCAAGTACGCCTTATACAAAAATTCGACATTTTTCAAACCAGCGTGCAACAACACATGTATGAGTGACTTGCGGACAGGCTGTTGAGATGCTGAACTGCTGCACTCCTGGCGGATTTTCCGGGCCCTCGCAGTACAGAAGCGGCTTGCCAAGAGGATAGCCTGTGCAGTAACCCCTGTGGACCATCAGCCTACTACATGTGGCAACAGTGTGAAGGACTGGATGTGAAGTGCCGCAAAACTGTGCCTGTGTCTTGGCCATGGTTTAACTTAGCTGCTGGATAAGATTCGTGACTTCGGTTTTCTGGCTTTCTTCCTGGATACTAATCTGATTCTATTATTTATTATTCTAAAAGTTTTTTTGCCATTTTGTATGGTTATACTTCGCTTTTTATAAGCTTGTGACTGTTGTGTGGACGCGTATCGATCATTCTCAGGCAGGGCCCTCATTTTTGTTTCGCAATTGCTCATGTTCGCCGAGGCTTGCCAACGACGGCTACGGTGTTTCTCGCTTGGGAACTGTCCCGTCGCAATCATCGCTCACCCCGCCATCGCCCATCAACTACACTTCATTCCTTCATGTGTGAGCCGGAGCCGGCTCGGCTGGACGTCGAGCACGTCATCTTCGTCTCTCCCGCTGGGCTCAGCTCAGCGCGCTTTCCAGCTGTGCCCGTAAAGTCTTCACCGAACCAAAGCTTCAACTTCCGTCGCAACCATACGTACAGACCTAGAAATCTTCTGTTCCGAACCGGACCAGCTCCCAAAATCTCCATGTCACGGACGTTGTCACAGAGTCTTTCCCGAGCACCAGTCAAGGACATTGCCGCGGTGTTGATATCCGAGCCTGTCTCGCCTTGCCAAACTTATCCCGAACCGGATGGACAACCTCGTTGTTAGAACCCCCAACCTCCAACCGAACCTCCCTCAGCGGTAGACGTCAGCAGTACTGGCCGGCACAGCAGCCGCGACTCGCAACCCCATAACGCAGGCTTACCAGTTTCAACCGATCCACGTCAGCAGCAAGTGGTCGAGTCGCGGTGTACCGGGACCCATGCGGGCGAGCCTGACGTGGAATACAGCTCACAACAGGAGGTGGAATCTCAACCTTTGGTTAGGAGGCAAAGTAGTGAAAACAGCAGCTCCAGCGCCAGTCGAACCAGCAGAACCAGCGCTAGCAAAGGCGCCACAAGCACCAGCAGCACGAGTGACAGCGGTACGATCCCTAGCAGCACAGGCACCAGCTGTACTGATGGGGAAATAGCAGCAGCAGCAGCAGCAGCAGCCCCAGATATGAGCAGCAACCATGGCAAGGACTCGATTTCCGAGCCTGCGGCCGTTTATGAGCCTGAAAGTGTGTCGTTTGAAGATCGCGACGCGAAGGAGTGCCGTATCTGTCAGGAAGAGGATGACGTGTCAAAGCTGGATGTTCCGTGCGCGTGCTCCGGTAGTCTCAAGGTACTATCAGCTTCTGAGTTTGTAACTTAATATGTATTAGTCTTTGGTTGTTTCCTTTCTATAGGATCTTGCCATGGGGACTTTTTGGCGCTCATTTCATGTGCGTGAATGCCCCTGTCCCCGTTATTGAGTCACTGCAGTACGCGCATCACGATTGCATCCAGAGGTGGTGCAACGAGAAGGGCAACACGCAGTGCGAAATCTGCCATCACGTAAGTTCACTTTTCCAAAACTTTAGTATCCTGTCCAAGACTTCATACCCTCCGACTTAATACGCGTGGTTTGTACCATTCCCATTACTCACTCGTCCGCTAAGTTGCGTACGTTCCTGTTTTTGCAAGGGATGCGTTTTGGAAATCTCGCGGTCCGCTTTGCAGCACAACCCCCTCCCCACCCTCCCCCCCCGCCCCTTTCCCCTTCGTTTTTGCCTATTCACGTTTCTGGTTCTAGACTGCTCACCTTTTTCATGTTTTTAAGAGCGCCACCTTTGTTCCCTTCTTCTTCGCGAGAACGCTGATGCATCCGTCTCATATCCTAGTCCCCGCCGTCCCGCCTCCCTCTTTCCCCCTTTCTCCCCTTTTCTCCCCGCTCTCCCCCCTTTCTGCCCCCCTTGTTCCGGCCCCCTCGTTTTCCCCCTTCGTCCCGCGTCCCCCGATCCCTTTCCAGCCGTTCAAAGAGGGTTACACCGCGCCGCCGCCGCCCGCCTCTCCTCCAATCACGCCGGGGCTCGTGGCGCTGCAATTCCGCGACGGCGCGGGGCAGCTGAGCCACATCGTCACGTTCCGCGACGCGGTGACGGGCGAGGAGCTGCGCTTCGGCCTCGAGGACTTCGCGTCGGCGCCCGCGGTGCCGGAAATCCCGGAGCCTGCTACCGTCAGCTGCTTAAAATCGCTCATTATCATCGTACGTGATTTTTTCTATCAACTTGCTCATATTATGTTAGCATGTGAATCTGGTGTCGAGCGTTCTTTTCGTTGTTAGCCGCTCGACTATAATTGTACGTTCACAATTTACTCACAACCCCCCCGTGCTCCAGGTGCTTCTTCTCATCTTTGCGCGGCACTTCTTCGCGCTTGTGCTGGAGGCGAGTGGCGACGATGACGACGTTGACGAAGACTCTGCCGAATTCACGGTAAGGCTGTGCGACGGTATGGCTGTGCGGGGGTGTGGCTGAGCGACAGCATGCTGCCCTGCTTTCTCCTCCCCTCTTTCCCCTTCCCACTTACCCTCCCCTCACAACCCTCTTTTTTTGCACATGCTTCAGATGCATCCGCTCTCTATTCTGCTGCATCTGCTTCATCCTCGCCGTCTTTCTTCTTCCCACTTATCCTGCCGCCCCCCCGCCACCCCTCCCCCCTCCCTCCCCTCACCCCATTTCCCCTTCCCCATTTCTCCTTTTCCCCTGATGTTTCTGATGCAGCGACTCGGCATTCTGCTCCCCTTCTTCATCCTCGCCCTTCCCCTTTCCCATCCCTTTCCCGTCCCCTCCCCCTTCCCCCCCCCCCTCTTCCTGCTGTTTTTCCTCCCTCCTCCCCTGCCCCCTCCCCCCGTCCCCTGCAGATATTTCTGATGCAGCTGCTCGGCATTCTGTTGCCCTGCTTCATCCTCGCGCGTGCACTCGCTGCCATCCACGACCGATACCGTCAGGTGGGTGGGTGGTGAGGGGGGGCTGTTGGTATGTGGGGGGGTTTGGTGTGGGGGTGGGGCTGTGGTGGGTTCAGGGGGAGTGTGGCACAGAAGTTTGCACGTGTGGGTATGGTAGAGTTGTCTCCACGTGCCTGCACGTTCCCGTCTCCACCGCTCAAGGTTCCCGCTCTGCCCTTTCGTTCCTCCCATCGGATTAAACACTCACCACTTGCTACCTTACAAGTTCTTACCGTATAAACCAACTCAACTCTTCCTCTCTCCTCACCCCCCTTCCCCCGCTTCCCAAAAGAATAACACCCACCTATTCACCTCCCTGATAATCAATCCAGCAGGAATT